CTAACAACTCAGCAGTTCCCAGCACTAAGGTTTGGCCTAAACAGTCCATTTGGAGTTTGTTCAATAAAGCTAACTCTGAGAGAGACCTCAAAGGAGCAGGGAACAGTGAGAAAACAGGAAGGTGGAGCTGCATTTATTCTTCTAAGGGGAAATAAGCTGGGCGCGAAATCATGCAGAGAAGTGAGCAGAATGAGATTTCAATTTTTTTTACTTTGTTTACTTGGAGAATTTGGGGTTTTGTTTGGTTGGTTGTTGTGGTTTTCCATTTGTTTGCTTTGTTTTGTTCTTTTGTTTGTTTGTTTTTGGAGACAGGGTCCACACACTGTAACCCAAGATGGCCTGGAACTTACTCTGTAGCCCATACTGGCCATGAACTTGTGGTACACACCCTGTCTTAGCCTCCAAAGGACTGGAATTACAAGTGTGAGCCACCTCACCCAATTTAAAACTTCCAAGTATTTGTCTGGAGAGGTGGCTCAGGGTAAAGGGTGTGCTATGCAAGCGTGTGGACTGGGGTTCTGATCCTTAGAACCCATGTGAAAACCAAAGATGGGCAGGCATGGAAGCCACCTGTAATCCCAGCACTCAAGACTGGGAACCTCTGGGGCAAGCTGGCTAGCTAGACTAACCAGTGTTGTAGATTATTTTAAGATGTGTCACGTTTGTTTACACTGTGGAACATTTGTTTAATGATGCAAAGATGTGTTGCGTTCTTTTATGTTGCATTTGTTTGACTCTGTGAAGCTGTGTTACTGTGCCTGTCTAAAACACCTGATGGTCTAATAAAGAGCTGAACTGTGGATGGCAAGGCAGGAGAAAGGGTAGGTGGGGTTGGCAAGCAAAGAGAATAAATAGGAGGAGAAGAGCAAGAGGAATCAAGGAGGGGGACATCAGGGGCCAGCCACCCAGCTACACAGCAAACCTCCGAGTAAGAGTGAAGGTAAGATATACGGAAGAAAAGAAAAACGTCTAGGGGCAAAAGGTAGACGGGACAATTTAAATTAAGGAAAGCTGGCCAGAAATAAGCCAAGCTAAGGCTGGGCATTCATAAGAAAGAATAAGCCTCCTTGTACTTATTTGGTAGCTGAGTAGTGGGCCCCTCAAAAGAGTAAAGAGCAGAAACAACCAACAACAAGCCAGAACTGGTGAACCTGGGGTTCAGCAGAAGACCCTGCCTGAATAAACTAAGTGAAGAACCCTTGAAGAGGGTACTCCGTGTCAACTTCCATCCTCAATACATACATACACTCGAGTGCACCCTCACACACACTCAGACCCAAGCAATACAAACACATACACCTGTAAGCACACTACAGAGAGAGTGGGGAGGGAGGAAGAGGGCTGGAGGGAGAGGGAAGGAAGATTTAAAGTGGAGGAGTCTTCCTCTGGAGATACATGGAACTCGTGTCCACTTTTACCAAAGTCAGGTGAAGCTAACGAGCTTCAACTACAGCAGAAACGGGAGTCACACAGTAAATAAGGACCTGGGCACAACCACATTAAAGATAACCCTGTAGAGATCAGCCGGAGTCCCCAGACACAGACACCCCATGTCCACTTCCCAGTTCTAGGGCAGAGGAACAGCCAGTATGTGGGGGAAAAAAGGCGGAGACTGATGTCTGCAGAATCCTGGCAGTCCCTAGCGTGAATGTCAGGAAGTCGTGCCAAGGTAGATGAGGGGAATACAGGATGATGCTAACACTTTTCTCTGAGTCACTCCTGAATTCCCAACACCAACTCCCCTCATTAGCACACCTTCTTATCTCTCTTAATTTATGTCTCTCCTTTCTGGTACCCCCGCCAACCCAAACCCTTCTCTCTCCAGCCCCAAAACTTTGGGAGTGAAGCACCAGGCATCTTCCATTCTGCCTGCTTTTTGCTTGCTCACTGCAGTTAGCAGCAGGAGCCAGAGCAGGAGGGGGTGGGGAGCCCTGGGTCACGCTGCCCTGTGATGCTCTCACTCTTCCCGCTTCTATTGATCAGCCCTTCTATAGAGCAGAACCTCTTCCCAAACGCTCCTCCCCTTCCAGGATTCCCTTTAGCTGGCACCCAACAAGCTCCCCTGAAAAGTGTTTAGGGTCTTCCCTTCCTGGGGTCTTTCCCGTGATTTATGCAAAGCAGACTCAGGCTTTAGAATTAGCCTGAAATTGTATCCTAATTCTGCCTATTAGGTGTTCCATTACTTAACTACTCCCTTCCTCAGATTCTTCATCTGCATATTAGAGATGATAGTAATATTTCACAGGATTGTTCTAGGAATTAAATGAACACACAAAGTGCTTGGCCTATTATGAGTGCTCAGGAAATGTTTATAATAGACATGTAAGCATATAGATACATACATATTATCCAACATTTTTATTTAGCTTTTGTGTGTATTTAGTGCGAGGGATTAATCTCAGAGTCTTGAACATGCTAGGCAAGCACTCCGCCACTAAGCTACATCCCAGTCTAGTCCCTACCTAAAAATTTTATCGTGGAGACTTGGAGAGATGGCTCAGCAGTTTAAAGCTCTTGCTACTTTTCTTAGTTAGGGTTAGCATTGCTGTGACAAAACACCAGGACCAAAGAGCAAGTTGGGGAGGAAAGGGTTTGTTAGGCTTACACTTCAGCATTGCTGTTCATCACTGAAGGAAGTCAGGACAGGAACTCACACAGGGCAGGATCTCAGGAACAGAATCTCATGAAGAGGCCATAAAGAGGACCTGCTTACTGGCTTGCTTCCCATGGCTTGCTGAGCCTACCTTCTTATAGAACCCAGGACCAGCAGCCCAGGGATGGCACCACCCACAATGGGCTGGGTCCTCCCACAGTGATCACTAACTGAGAAAATGCCTTACAGCTGGATCTCAAGGAGGCATTTCCTCAGCTGAGGCGCCTTCCTCTGATGACTCTAGCTTGTGTCAAGTTGACACACAAAACCACCCAGTACACTACCGTTCAGAGGACCTGAGTTCAGGTCACAGCATCACATTAGGTGACTTAAAACTGCCTTGAATTCTAGCTCCAGAGGATTAGGTGCCCTCTTCTGGCCCCCACTAGCACTGTGAGCACAGACACACATACATACAATAAAAAAATGAAAATGAAAGTTCCTAAATGTTATTATGACAGTTAATGAAATTCTGCTTAATTATGTCATTTAACAGTTTTGTGTTTCTTCTCACTCATCCTTTGATGGTTATACAGCTCCCAGGATATAGGATACTGTGGTGATATTGTGTTTCCCAAAATATTGTGTACCCTAATAAACTTATCTGGGGTCAGAGAACAGAAAAGCCACTAGATAGTTAGGATAGGCAGTGGTAGCACATGCCTTTAATCCTAGCATTCCAGAGGCAGAAATCCATGTGTTCAAGGATACAGCCAAGCATGGTGACTCTCGCCTTTAATCCCAGGGAGTGGTGGTAGAAAGCAAAAAGGTATATAAGGCGTGAGGACCAGAAACTAGAAACATTTGGCCTGGTTAAGCATTTGGCTGGTTAAGCTTTCAGGCTTTTGAGCAGCAGTTCAGCTGAGATTCATTCTGGATGAGGACTCAGAGGCTTCCAGTCTGAGGAAACAAGATCAGCTGAGAAGTTGGCCAGGTGAGGTTAGCTGTGGCTTGTTCTGTCTCTCTGATCTTCCAGTGTTCACCCCAATACTTGGCCTCAGGTTTGATTTTATTAATAAGACTCTTTAAGATTCCCGCTACAGGATACCACTCTTCAAATTGCTGAATGAGGGCCAGTAAAATATGAATTTCATCCTCAGGACCCATATGTTAAAAGAAAGATCTGAGCCAGGCAGTGGTGGTGTATGCCTTTAATCCCAGGGCCCGGGAGGCAGAGGCTGATCTAGAACTCCCCATTCTTCCACCTCAGAACTCCTGACAGGTTTGCATCAGCTAAATATTAATCTAATCACCTTTTAACAATAAAACTATTATTGAGTGGGTAAGCAAATTGACCAAATGCCCAGCATGTCTCCACATTTGGTGTCTTGTGGTTCATTCCTTCATTTGTTTGTTTGATTTCGCTTTGACACAGGATCTCTCTGTGTAGTCCTAGCTGTCCTGGAGTTCGCTATATGTGTAAACCAGGCCGTCCTCAAATCCACAGAGATCCCCCTGCTTCTGCCTCCAGAGTGCTAAGATGATCAAAGGCGTGCGCCACCACGCCGGGGTATGTCTGCACACTCGTAATGCACCCCAGAGCCCCAGTTGCTTGCGGGGCTGAAGCAGAAGGTTCCTGAATTACAGGCCATCCTGAAAAGCATAGGGAGTCAAACAGACAGACAGACAGGGAGGCAGGGAGGCAGAGAAAGAGACAGAGACAGACTGCAACAACAGCAATAAATTGATGATGTTTATAATTTTTCTTGTTGGAATTAATCCTGGAAGCATTCCTCCTTAGAGAGGCATTGCATAATTTACCTTTCACTTTGGCAGTAGCACTCTGCCACGACTAACATGGGTTCGCATTCCCTGACCACAAAAGGACAAGGATGGACTTGCACATTCACCACTCACAGCCCGCAACAGTCGCAAAGCTCCCTAGAAGGCCACTTAAGGTGCCTTAAAATGCTTCACTACCGTGATCACCCAGAGCTACCGGAACCTTGGTGGAGCGGTGGGATGACCAGAGGGCTGGGAAAGAAGAAGAAAGCGTTCTCTTCCAGCGAGAGGAAACTGGGAATCCAGTGAGAACCGGCCAGCAGTGCCAGGAAGTAAGGTGAGGGAAGGAAACGAATTTCAATGAGTTCGGAGAGCTTCGGCTACCCCAATAACAGATCGGGGGATGGACAGCATGAAGACACCAGCCCTCTCAGGGCGCATGTGAAAACTAACTCTTCAGCTGAATAAATAGGAAAAGCGCTTCCAACTCTGGAAAAAAAAAAAAAAAATCAGCCCCGTTAAAAGAACAGCTCACCCACCAGCCAACCCTCCACTTCCCTCCCTTAGATATTCACTGCCAATGACCCAACGCCTAAAAGAGAGGGCGGCTCCCCGTGTCACATGATGCTGCGCTCACGTGACCCCGCCCTGCGGGAGCCAAGGCGCGATTCAGCTCCCGCAGCCCGAGGGGGGGGGGCCCGTTGTGCCCACACACCCCAGCCCGGCTCGACCATGCTGTCCCGCCTGCTCAAGGAACACCAGGCCAAGCAGAATGAACGCAAGGAGCTGCAGGGTGAGCGCAGAGTCCCCCCGGCCGCCCCGGGCCCGCGGCCGCGCTGCTGCCGGAAGCCTGGACCTCGGGTAACCTCCCAGATCGAGGGGCGGGCGCCGGCTCGCGGGCCACCCGAGTGCTGGGCAGGGGGTTCGGGGCGGCGCTTGTGGGAACTCCGTCCCCTTGCCAACCCGCTCCGGTCCCCCTGGCACCGACCGGGTCCCTTCGGCGGCGCCCCGAATCCCGCCTAGGCCGGGTCTAAGCCCCGCCCCCGGCTCTTGACACGCGATGCCAATTGGCCCAGGCAGCCTCTCGCCCGGAAGTGGGCGAGAGCTGGGGACCGCCCCGCGGCTGGGCTCCAGCAGGTCTGCAGCCGCAGCTAAGGCCCAGCCAGACTGGGCATCCTGGAGTTACTGATCCACTGCCCAAAGTCGTGGAGAGGGGTGTCTGGGAATCGTCCTGGGGGTGCCTGAGGGAGTCCCTTCCCCGCCCAGGGTGCCAGCTTCCTCACCTCCAAAATAAAGGGGTTTGGTTTATTCTATGTATGTGAGGTCCTTTTTCAGAGGTCTGACGTTAGTGGGCAGTTTCCAGAAGAGGAGTAAGTGCATGGGGAGCCCATTAGCAGCCCCACCTCTCCGATACGAAGTCTACTCCAACCCTTTTCCCCTTCCCCAGAGAAGAGGAGGCAAGAGGCCATCACCGCAGCGACCTGCCTGACCGAAGCTTTGGTGGACCACCTCAATGTGGGGTACGGACCTCTTCCCTCAACTCGTTCCCTCCATCCACCCTGGTTAGACAAGGTCTGGGCCATCGTCCTGAGGGATCCGGGTGCCCCAGTCACCACCACCACCCCTCCCCGCCTAATGTAACTTCATGGAGACTTGAGTCAGCTTTGACCCCTAAGCAGCTGCAGCGGTTGAGAACGCAGCCAGAATTTCCCCTCCCCACACTAACGTCCCTGGCACCGCTTGATGCCATCTGGCCAGCTCGATTCACCCTGTTAAGTCCAGCTGTCACTTGGGTGGGAGGGAAGGCCAACCTCTCTCACCACATACCCCCTTCCCTTCCTCACCTCCTACTCTCTGGCAAGCCTGGAAAACAGCTGGCAGGAAGAAGGTGCCACAGCTGGTAGAAGTGAGGAAGAGCTGATGCCAAGAGCCGTGACAACCAGGCTGTCTTTTCCAAAACTTCCTTTCGGGTCTCCAGGGGCCCTACCAGCAACCTCAACCCTAAATGAGAAGGCCAGGGGTAGCCAAAGACTCGAGAAGATTTCCTGGACCTGTGTGTGACTCATAAGAGTGCAGAGATGGTGACTTGATAGTCCGTCTACGGGAAGCAAGGAGTTACATACTATGCCTTCCACTCGGGGCATGGGGCCGTAGCAGAGCTTGGTTGTCAATCCAGAAACTGAGTCATCCAAGGGAGTCATGCAGGCAGGGGGAGGGGTCATCTCCATTACTCATCTGAGGGGCGATCGGGGGAAATGGCTGTGGTTGGGGCCTCTGGTCTCCTTTGTCTCCAGACAGCTCTCTTCTCTCCAGGCTCCCACACTGGCACCTCCTTTGCTACCGTTTGTGAGGCTGGCTGGACTTCTCTCTTTTCTACTTGCTTGCTGTATGCCACCCCACTTTCAAGCTTAGAGGGAAGCTAAGCCAAATCCAGATTAGAAAGGGTTTTGTGCTGCTACCCACAGCTCCTAGTCTCCAGAAAATGAAACAAAGGCTTAGTGTGTCTCAGCCCTTGTCAGGTGCCCTGCCCACTTTCTTGGACCCCCCCCCCCAACACCCTTTGCCTCCTCTGCCCCCACACATTCCAGTGGGTGGTGGCACCGGATGTGGAGTCTTCTTACTGACCTAGAGCTTTGGGATAGGGAATGAAAAGGTCATCTGCTAGTAAGAGAGGGAACAGTGGTCACACAAAAGGCCAAGCAAAGAACATTGGTGGAAAATGGAGCACCAACCCGTGGTATGGTGGTAGCCACAGCCAGCAGTCTGATTGAGCAGGAGAGAAGTATTGCCTGGAGCCAGGACAGGAGTGTGTGTGTGTGTGTGTGTGTGTGTGTGAGAGAGAGAGTCTGTGTGTGTCTGTGAGAGAGAGAGGAGAGAGTGTGTGTATGTGTGTGTGTGTGTGTGTGCGTGTATGTTTGTGTTCACTCATCTTTATGGGTGGAAGGAGTAAGGGTGAGAGTTGGGTGTGATAGCAGATGCCCACATGCCTGTAATCCCAGCACTTGAACAGTAGAGGCAGAAGGATTAGGTCAAGGCCAGCTTCATCCCCATAGCAAGTTGAGGTCATCCTGGGCTATATAAGACCCTGTCTCAAAAGGGGGAGGAAGAGACAAGAAAATCTCTTGGGATAGGTTTATTTGACCCAGGATTCCTAAGGAGAAGGGTTTACTCTCCCATCCCACCCCGGATTCAGGGAGGGGCCTGATTTCCTTCCCAACTTCTTGCAGAGATCACTGGGCTTCAGATCACTGCCAGATGTGTCCCTGCTGCTGAATTTTCCCACGCCCCCTTTCCCTCAGCTTCTTCCTCAGGGATATCCCCAGGTTAACCCTCCCTACCCCATCTCAGCTACAGAGACTCCTTGAGAGGATAAGAAATGGCATGTTTCTAGTCAGCACCTAAATTGGCTTTCTTGGGAACCCGAGGGTTGGAGGAAGGAGCCTGCTTCATTTGGGTCACATCCAGAAAAGGCCAGAACCCCAAGGCTTCCCCAGTCCTACCTCCTGACTGATCTCCCACCCCTGTAATAGGCCCTGAAGACACCCCCCCCCCCCATGTACTGGGTGAGCTGACATCCTCCCTCCTCCAATCCGTAGTGTGGCCCAGGCCTACATGAACCAGAGGAAGCTGGACCATGAAGTGAAGACCCTACAGGTCCAGGCTGCCCAGTTTGCCAAGCAGACAGGCCAGTGGATTGGAATGGTGGAGAACTTCAACCAGGCACTTAAGGTGGGCCACACTCCGCACATCGTTGCCTTTTTCTGAGCCCCCATTGGCTGTCTTCAGTCTCATAACTGCCCCAGACCTAAGGTTAATGACGAACGGGGGGATGGCCCCAGATACTCCTTCTGGTGTCGGGAAAGCTAGAAAGGAAAAAGGCAGGATCTTGAGATACGGCTCAGTGACGTTTAGGGCCCTGGGTTCAATCCCTAGCTCTACAGAAAACCCTCAGTAGGGTCCACAGACCTGTTGTACCAGCTGCTCTGGAGGCTGAAGGAGGAGGAGGAGGATAGCTGGAGCCCAGGGGTTGAAGCCAGCCTGAGCAATGTTGCAGTAGTCCATCTCAAAGAAAGGCAGACAGACAGACAGAAAAGCAGTTGGTGTATCTGAGTAAGCGACCTCAGCCTAGGAGGCGTAATCTACCCACCCTGATTCCTGGCCTCCAATCTCTTTTCCCCCTCACCAGGAAATTGGGGATGTGGAGAACTGGGCTCGGAGTATCGAGCTGGACATGCGCACCATTGCCACTGCCCTGGAATACGTCTACAAAGGGCAGCTTCAGTCCGCCCCGTCCTAGCCTCTCTCCACCCTCCCAGACGGGAGGGAGACTGGTAGGGCCATCAATAAAACACAAGCTTACATTCTACGTGGTGTGTGGACGGAGTCACTAGCTCCTGTATGGTGGGGGGGGTTCCAAGGTGGTTTCCCTGTGTGACTAGTGACTTGGTGGAGGGTACAATATTCCTCTTCCTACACCTACTCTTCCTTGAACCTGGTGCAGGTGACTTTCAGCTGAGCAGAAAGTATCCTCATGCCTGCCCCGAGGAGGCCTCTGCTCAAAACTTTCTACTTCCAGACTTCAGTTTCCTGCAGAGAATTAAGTCAGGGAGCAGACCTAGTCCTCAGCTCTGGCTCTCTGCCTCCCCACATGCTCATGTGCTCTCCCGGCTGCCACTAAGCAGTGTCATGAGTCTGGGCCAGGTGGGAGATTAATTCTTAGGGGCACTTGAGGGCTGAGAAGGAAGAAAAATGACAGGTCCAGGGCCACCCACAGAGAGGGGCAGCTGCCATCCTTGGTAGTTCCCACCTCCTAGGAGACAGTGGCAAGGATGGTCAGGAGCCCAGGCTGAGATAGACCACCTAAGAGGGGGCAGAACTGCCCTCTGCCAAAACCTAGCTTCAGCCAGGCAGGCTTCAGCCTCTTAGCTCCTCCTCCTCCTCACCACTGCCCTCACCCCAAAACATACAGACACTTAACAGTCCTGCTCCACAGCAAGAGTCCACCCCTCCAGACTTTGGCCTTAGCTGTAGCTCATGTGGGAGCCTGGGAAGTCCAAGAGCAAAGTCTCTCAAGCAGAGGAAAAAGCTACAGCTTCACACATTGTGTGCCTGCCAGCTTTCCCCAGAGGTACGTAAGGGGTGGTGGGAGTGGGGTGCTATGAAAAGACCAGCTAGGGATGGCATGTATTGATCGTCCAAGATTCAAGCTTCGAGCATTGTCCACACATCATCCCTTTGATCTTCCACAACACCGGGATGGGCCTGGTGGGTAGTGTAGCTCAATTTGCTAAATGAGAAAATGGGTCCCAAGACAGAGTAAATGTGCCCAGCCTCACACAGTAACTTTGAGGCCACCGGGACTGGAATGCAGGGCTCTTGGTTCCAAAAGCAAGGCAAGGGATGCTTTCAGAGGGTTTTGATGTTCCTGGATTAGTAGCAGGTACAATGGTAATCCAGGTCCCTCTGCCCCCACACTACATGTTTGCACACAGGACCAGCTCAGGTTTATTTCATTAGCGACAAAGATGGTGTTTGCCCACGTCTGTTTTGCACAGTAAGCGGTTGCTTGCCAATCATCTGCGAAGCAGATAGTTTCTTGATTTGTCTGCTCAGACCAGACATTTCCCGCTAAGTAGATGTTAGGGACCAGGGCTAAAGGGGCAGAGGAAATGACAAGCTTTCCTGCCCAGTCTAGGCTGCCATCTGCAGGGCATCGCATCTAACCATGTGGCTGCCCCTGCTTCTGGGTGCCGTGCTGTGGGCAGTGCTGTGGTTGCTCAGAGACCGGCAGAGACTGCCTGCCAGCCACGCTTTCATATTCGTCACTGGCTGTGACTCCGGCTTTGGACGCCTTCTGGCACTGCAACTTGACCAGAAAGGCTTCCAAGTCCTGGCTGGCTGCCTGACCCCCTCTGGGGCAGAAGACCTACAGCAGATGGCCTCCCCCCGCCTCCACACAACACTGCTGGATATCACTGATCCCCAGAATGTCCAGCAGGTTGCCAAGTGGGTGAAGACGCATGTTGGAGAAACTGGTGAGTGCAGTGGAGTCGCTGAGGCTGTGGGGGAGGCATGGGGTTCAAATCCTCCCAGGAAGGAAATAGGAGAATGCCTCACCTCCACAAAACCCCCACCCTGTGTCTGTCATCTCCCCACAGGGCTCTTTGGTCTGGTGAATAATGCTGGTGTGGCTGGTGTCATCGGACCTACACCATGGCTGACACGGGACGGTTTCCAGCACGTGCTGAACGTGAACACGCTGGGTCCCATTGGGGTCACCCTTGCCCTGCTACCCCTGGTACAACAGGCCCGGGGCCGGGTGGTCAACATCACCAGCGTCCTGGGTCGTCTAGCAGCCAATGGCGGGGGCTACTGTGTCTCCAAGTTTGGCCTGGAGGCCTTCTCAGACAGCCTGAGGTGAGGGTGCACAGCTCCAGGCCCAGCCTGGAGAGGGATCGGGATCCTACTCAGACAGGTGCACCAGATGCTGGCACAGGCCAGGAGGATTAGAACAGGGAAATGGAAGAGGAGACAGGGTTACATGTAGCTGAGACCCCAAGCCTTATCACCTACAAGCTGTGTCCTTAAATGGCTTACACTGTGTGTGTGTGTGTGTGTGTGTGTGTGTGTGTGTGTGTGTGTGTGTGTTGAACTGAGACAAGTCTCACTGTGTCATCCTGACTGACCTGGAACTCACAGAAATCAGCCTGCCTCTACCTCCCCAGAGCTGGGCTTAAAGGTGTGCACCACCACACCAGGCAGGTTACTTATTTTTTGAGTCAGGATTACACTCTGTAGTCCAGGCTGGCCCCAAATTCTTAGCAATCCTCCTATCTCAGCCTCTTGAGCACTGGGATTACAGGTGGGAGCCACCACACACCCAGTTAGGTTATTTCTCTCTGTTTGGTTTTTTTCTTCCAAGTCTGTTAAATCAGAGTGAGACTTGCCTCATGGGGGTTCAGAGCAAAGTGAGGTGTGTTGGGGAAAGCCTTCTGCCCATTCATATGGCATTTACTTACACACACACACACACGTATTTATTGTGTGTATGCATGCACACATGAATAGGCACCATGGCATGCAGGTCGAAGCACACTTACGGGAGTCTGCTCCTTTTCTGAGATGATGAGGGTGGATGGCAAGAGGCCTTCCTTGATGATGGGTCGTCTCACCAGCCCCTCGTATCACTATTAATAGTAGAAAAACTAATACTTTCTCACTTCATTCTCTTGACCAGTCTACATGAATAGCCATTACTATAAGGCTACTTAGTAGGAGCTTTGAGACATGCCCCTAGGCCAGGTCTGCCCCTCATTTTTGAGGCAGGGTCTTACTATATAGACCAGAAGGCCCCCCCCTTTTTTTTTTAATTTTTATGTGTATTGGTGTTTGGCTTGCATGTATGTCTATGTGAGGGTATCAGATCCACTGGAACTGCCATGTGGGTGTTGGGAATTGAACCCTGGTCCTCTGGAAAAACAGATAATGCTCTTAACCGCTGAGTCAGCTCTCCTGTCCTTTTTCTTTCTTTCTTTTTTTTTTTTTTTTTTTAAGACAAGGCATCACTCTGTAGCCCAGACTGGCCTCAAACTCACTATCCAAGTGCTGGGATCACAGACACATGCCTCCACGCAGGCCTTACCATAACAGTTTAGACAATAATGTTCCAAGTTGCTGAGACTACAAAGGTGCTCAGAGGACCATGGGAGCAGCAGAGTCTCAGTTTGGGACAGAAGCCCAAGTTGTTCAGGTGGAGCCCAACTAGTAAGGAAGGCTGCCTTCATCATCACACCCAACAGACAGCTTCACTGTCTCGTGCCCCCCTCCTGTTCTTCCAATCAGCATCGTGGAACCCAGGGACACTGGGATCTCTACCCAGGCCAGAGCAGGGCAGTGGGATGGACCCTCCTCGAACCGTCAAGTCACCTACCAGCTGATACCAGTCTAGACCCCTCACACCAGACTCAGGACTCAAGCTTATGTTTCGGAAGCTACAGCATGAGGCTCTAGATCGAGAACTGGCAGCCTGCAGCTATCACCCAGACGGGCTCAGCTGCCTTCGGGCTAATAATGGTTTTTATACATTTATATAGTCACATTGTAAATGGTTATATAAGTACATTAATTTTGCCAGGTATTGTGGCACACACCTTTAATCTCAGCACTCAGGGCAGAAGCAGGAGTATCTCTGTGAGTTCAAAGCCATCCTGGTCTACATAGCAAGTTCTGGTCCAGCCAGGGCTACATGGTAAGACCCTGTAGCAAAATAAATAAACACATTAATTTTGTCTGGCCTGTAGTACCTCAAAATTTACTATAAAGAAAAAGTAAGGGATGGGGTAGGGAGAGGCTCACCAATTAAGATTGCCATGTAATCACGAGGGCCCATACCCACGCGACACAAGGCCTTCTTCCGGCCTTCACACACATGTCCATAGAGACTCACACATGCACACATTTACATGAATCTTTTTGAAGAAGGGAACAGGATGCTAAGATGGAAGGATCCTGAGTTCAGAGTTATTCTGGACTACATTACCAGCATGAGGCTTTAGGCTTGATCCCAAGCACCCACCACCACCAAAGGAGAAAAATAATAAAGCTTGCTAAACATTAATCTAGTTATCAGAAGAAAATATACAACAGAGATGTGCTTAGTGAGATCCACCCACAATTCCAAGACTAGGGAAGTTGAGGCAGGGGTTTGAGGCCAGCGTGGACTACAAAACAAGATTCATTCTCTCTGTCTCCCTCTCCCTCACCCCTTCCATCTGTCTCTCTCATATACACACACACACACACACACACACACACACACACACACACACTCTGTCTCTCTCCCTCCCTCCCTCCTCCCTCTCCCCTCCTGCCTCTCCCTCTTAGCATGGTGGTACAGGCCTATAGTCCCAGCACTTTCAAGGCCAGCTTCTACTTCATAGCAAGTTCAAGCTACATGAAAACCTATCTCATAAAAATAAAAAAATTTTCAAGCCAGCAAAATGGCTGGGCAGTTAAGACATCCTGAGTTCAGGGGACATACATGGTAGGAGAGAACCAAGTTGAACTCTGACATCCAGACATGGACAGTGGCACACACACACACAGTAAATATACAATTTTTTTTAAGTAAAAGAAAAGTTCGAGATTAGCCTAGGCTATGTAGTGAGACCCTGTCTCATAAAATAAAATTTAAAAAATGAGAGAGAGAGAAATATTCAGACTATCATGACAGCTCACACCTGTTATCCAAATACATGGAAGGTAGAGACAGAAGTTACCAGGAGTTCAAGGCTAGCCTGGGCTACATGAGACCTTGTCTCAGAAAACAAAAACAAGGGGCCAGAGAGATGACTCAGAGGATAACAGTGATTCCTGCTCTTGCAGTGGACCCAGGGTTGGTTCCCAGCACCTACAAGGTGGTTCATCACAGCCTGTAACTCCAGTTGCAAGGGATCTGACACCTTCTGACCAGTGAAGGCTCCTGCACACACACGGTGCACACGAACTCATGCAATACACATATAAATATTTTTTAAAAGGAAAACAGAGTGGAGATACCTCCCCTGGGCTGGTGACGGTGTGGCGCCGTCTCTTACCTACCATGCACAGCCCAACCAGCAATAGCCTTTCCTGTCAGGACACGTCCCCACCCTGCTGACAACTTTCCATCTTAGATCCCTCCCTCTGGAAACTAGGGTATAAACCCAGAAACCCTTCCGCCCACCCTCCAGGCGGGACATGGCTCCATTTGGAGTACGAGTCTCCATTGTGGAGCCTGGCTTCTTCCGAACCCCTGTGACCAACCTGGAGAGTCTGGAGAACACCCTGAAGGCTTGTTGGGCCCGGCTACCACCGGCTACACAGGCCCACTATGGGGAAGCCTTCCTCACTTCTTGTGAGTAGCTGGGCACATGTGAGGGCATGATGGGAAAGAGAGAGGGCCAGAAAGGCCAGGCCTCGTAGGGAGGAAAAGGGCAGGCAGGGGGAGGTGGTGCCACGCCCCAAACTGGGCAGGTGATCTTTAAGACAGCCTAAGATGGGATGGAGGGAGGCAGGCAGCATGGGCACGCTAACTACAAGCATCTTCCAAGATCTCCAGGTGCAGCGCCGCATCATGAACCTGATCTGTGACCCGGACCTGACTAAGGTGACCAGCTGCCTAGAGCATGCCCTGACAGCTCGTCACCCCCGAACCCGCTACAGCCCAGGCTGGGACGCCAAGCTGCTCTGGCTGCCTGCCTCCTACCTTCCGGCCAGCCTGGTGGACGCTGTGCTCACCTGGGTCCTTCCCCAGCCTGCCCAGGCAATCGACTGATGCCAGCTCTCCATTTATGTCTGTCTCCACTCTGGTGCTGCCCCGTTCCCGGCACGGAGTCGGCTCTCAATAAATATGTATTGCTTTAAAAGGCAAAGTAGGTGGGCAGAAATGAAGGTACCTGTTGGAGCCTGGCAAGATTTAGCATCTAAAATCCCTAAACTGCCTAGGACCGGACTCTCTGGCCTCTTTGGTGCCTGCAAAACTTCTGTTGTCCACTGGGGGGCGTAAGGACCTGCCCTGCACTTAGAGATGCTCTTTGGAGCTGCACTTGGAGAGATGGCCACCAGAGGGCACTTCTGGCCGATCTGTCTACGTGGGGTAGTGAGCGTACGTTTGCACCTGGCGCGGCATTATCTAATGTTTCCGGGGACAGGTGATGAGAATGGTCAGGGCAGGGCTGGGTGGCTTCCCTGGGAGAAGGAAATACTTAAACTCCCCTATTATCTAAGGCAAGAACCGGGGACACTGGCCACACAGGTCAGAGACAAGCAACTAAACCATTCTGCAAGGAGCCTGGTCTTGAGGACTGAGGGGGAGGAGTCTGCCGGCCCTCGGAGAATCAGAGGGCCGAAAAGTTGTCCAAAATAGACACGGGCCAGGCTTTACCACGCAGGCCCCTTGTGGAGCACCCCTTTGACTTAGGCAGGACACTGAAGGCAGGCAACACAAGCCGGGTCGGGGAGAGTACTCAGTCCTCCTCAGATCCCACCACCAAGATGCCCCTTTCCCAAACTCCCCTGAATGTGCCTGCCTATTCCCAGAGACAGAAAGAAAAGGAAGGGGCCATCCATCACTCTAAGATAAACTGAGACCATCTCCTTTTTAGGTCTGAAAAAATAATCCGTTTAATTGAAAACCCTGGAGAATCCACTCCCTTAGATGAAAAGACGGAAAAGGACCAGACCCCCCACCCCTACATGACTTCATAGCCACTTCGGATACTTTTCACCAGACAGCAGGAGAAGATGATTCCCAGGACCTGAAAGGAGAGATGGAAGTGAGGGTGGAAAGGAGAAAGGGCCAGCTTCCCCAGACCCATCCAAATCCACTCTTCCAGGCCAGTCCCTCCTGCTCCCCAGATGCCCTGGGCTGATTCAGACCCCCCCAACCCACAGCATATCTTACCTCCACAAAAGCAATGCCCAGGGCTGATTCAGACCCCCACCCACCCACAGCATATCTCACCTCCACAAAAGCAATGCCCAGGGCTGCTGCAGCCACCAACAGTATTTTCTTCCTCAGCCAGACCCCTATACTCTCCATGCAGCCCTGAAGGGAAGAGGCAAGCATGAATACCAGCAGAAATGTCCAGCCTACCTCTCTCCTGGACCTCCTGTCCCCTTCTCCCAACCCCTCTCCTCCCCAGATCTCATCCCCAACCCTGACTCCATTAGCACCTCTCCTGCCTCCTGAAATATTCCCAGGTGTCCCCAGTCCAGTGCCGCCTCCTACCTGAGTGTGGATCGTGGATTTCTTGAAATCAGTTCCACAGCCCACAGTAATGTTGATGCAGCAGGAGTCAGGGACTCGGTCCTTGGCCATACCAGTAATGTTCTCCCAGTCTGTGTAGTTATTGGCTCCACAGCACCCAAACTAGGAGAAGGAGGCGGGAAGGGAGGAAAGGTTGCCAAGTGGAACCTTCACTCTAATTCAGCGATGAGACTCCTGAACCCCCGCTCCCCATCTTCCCAGCCTTCCCACTCACTTCTTTCTGCAACCCGTCCAGAACCAAGGCCGTGTTGTTGTCTTTAAGGTAATTCTGCATCTGCTGCCGGAAGTTCTTATTAAACTCTGACTCCACCTACGAGTAAGGAGGCATGTTGTAGAGAGCGGGATCCAGGCCCTAGAGTCCCAGAGTAACCCAAGCCAGGGCTCCCCTCGTTCCCCGCTTACCTTGTCTCTAAACACATAGCCCGCAATGGCCACGGCCACCTCCACGAGCATGATGAGAGACAGGAAGACAGCGAACTGCAGGAGCACAGGACGGGCGTTGGGTGTGAAGTCCAGATCTAAAGGGCTTGCTCTGACCCAGTCAATTCCTGGAACACTCCCGGTGCTCCTCACCCACCCACCTCACCACAGAAATGCCCTCTGGTACTCCCAGGAGTCACGCTGCCCGACACCCCACTCACTGTAATCATAAGACAGGAGTTCTCCTTGCAGGCCCCACAGCAGCCCACAAAGGCCACCAGGAAGAGGAAGGCGCCCACTGCAATGATGACCACAGGCAACAGGGAGCCAGGCGTAGTCTCGTGGGTGATGGTCTGATTCAAGACGACCTGAACTGCCACACCAATGGCAATCAACCCCACTGCACAGGCCTGGGGGGAAAGTGAGGGTGTGGTCAGATCCTCCGTCCAGTAGCCCTCACACCTGACCCCCACCCAGAAAACAGATGTTTTGCTTGTTTGTTTTCCGAGACAGGGTTTCTCTGTTTAGCCCTGGCTGTCCCAGAGCTAGCTCTGCAGACCAGGCTGGCCTCGAACTCACAGAGATCCCCCTGCCTCTGCCACCCGGGTGCTGGGATTAAAGGCGTGCGCACTGCCACCACCGCCTGACCCAGAAAACAGTCTTAACACCTCCAGGACTGACCGTGGAGAAGGAAGTCTGCCCATCCTGGCCCCACGGTGAAGGCTGGGAAGTTGTTCAGGACAGACAGGTGGCATGCCTTCCTTTAAACAGCTCTTCACCCCAGGATGTGCATTACTTTCTACAGACTCCCAACTACACTTTCCCAGAACTGCCCCCTCACTCCAGTGACTAAGGTTCTAGGGCCAGCTAGGCCAGCGGAGAGGGAGAGGGGATAAGAGCAGCTTCTCAGGGCAGGAGCAAAGGAAGGTGGGCAGAGCCCTTCCTTCCCCCAACATGATGAGAGGATAGAGAAGAGATATGAATAAACAGGGTGGGGAGTGGGGTAAGCCCGTGGCGATACCATCGGGCCGTTGGCAGGTTACCCCACTACCCCATATCACAAATGGTTGGGTCACCAGACAGGAAGGGCCAGGAGGGGGTTGGGTGGCGGTGCTGTCCATCTAGGGTGGCCGTTCTCTGCCCAAACTCTCCTCTGAGGTCCCGGAAAGCAGGGGGAAGGGGGGTGCGTTCCGCCTTCGGCCCTTTCTTCAGGCTTTCCTTCCACATCTGGCCTCCAGCTGCCTTCATTCCCGGGTCCCTCGCCCCCTCCACGGCTCCCGCTCCAAGGCTCCCCGCACCCCGCCGGCGCGCCCCGCCCGTCCCTCTGACCCCCCACCCCCGCCACTACTCACGCAAAAGGCCAGCAGAAGAACGTAGAGCAAAAACTTGACACACTTCATTCCTCCTTCCACCGCCATGGCTGCTGGGCCTGGGGCCGCGGAGAGCGCGGGGATTCGTCAGAGCAGGCCGCGGGGGGCACGGGCTCCGCGGGCTCCCGGCCGCCGGCCCTCGCAGCCTTCCCTGCGCGGCCCCCTTCGCAGCCCTTCCCACCCGGAAACCCGCGGTCAGATCCACGTCTCCCTGCCCCCTCCGCGCGCGCGGCGGCGGCGGCGGCCGGACAGGGGTAGGGGCGCGCGCCACGGAGCGGGGGGGGGGGGGGCCTGCGCCGCGGCCTCGGGGCCCCGGGGCGCACGGGGAGGGGAGGGCGCGGCCGCGCTCGGGGCGGACCCCGACCCCCCGCCGCTGGCCGCGGCCCCGCGCCGAAGCCGGTCCTCGGCGGGCCGCGACCCCGGACCCCGGACCCCGGGCCTCCCTTCACCCGCAGCGCGGCTGGCGCCCCGCGGGGCGTCGCGAACTTCGAGGTGGCAAAGTTGCTCCGCGAGCCCCGGGGCGGGCGCGCGGGGCGCGGCGCTGCTTGCGGGCGGCCCGGGGAGGGGGGCCCGGGCTCCCCCAAAGGCGCCCCCGGGGGTCCCTCGGCGGGGCCCGGCAGCCTCACCTGCGCTCGCCGACGTGCCACCGTGCTCTCCCGCCGCGGGTCAGCCGCCGTCTCCCTCCCGCGCCCCCCTGCTCGCGCCCCGCCTGCCGCGCCGCCCCGCCCCGGCTCCAGCCAGCCCCCTCCCCCGCGGGGTGGCCGCCAGCCTCCCTCATGTGACGCGGGAGCAGCTGCGGCCTGAGTCACCGGGGCTCACGAGGGGGGCGGGCGAGCCCCCCGCCCCGACGGGGCCACGTGGCCCCGACCCGGAAAGCTTGAGCCGGGAGCTGGACCGTCAGGGCTCCCCGGGGGCCCTCTCTGGAACCCCACGGCTTCCCTCCGGTTCTCGCCCCAGGGGCGGAGGGGCAGCCCAGGGTGGCCGGTGGGCAGAGATGAGCCCCGAACCTCCCGCCCCCATCCCCGGGCGCGGAAGGCTGTGGGTTGGCTGGAATTGGGTGTGGCCAGAATAAACACTTTCAGAAAGCCCCTGGCTTCACGTCTTAGGAGTCCCCCAACATTCTAGACTTTCTGTCCCCAACTTCTGCATTTACTGGGGCTCCTGGGCTGAGGAAGCCCTTGTCTAGAGCCGGTCCTCGCGTCAATTATAACACGTCAGAGCCTGGGCCCTCCTTCTGGGAAAAGATTAACCAAGGCTGCGCTCCCTAGCTCCTGAAGAAAGGACACTAAGGCTAGCAAGGCTTTTCTCCAATGGACTTCCCCGTCTTATTCCTCTTCTCATCAGAAATGGCGAAGCCGCCGCGCTTTAATCACACCGTTAATCCCAGCGCCTGGGAGGCAGGCTCTGTGAGTTCGAGGTCAGCCTGGTCTACAAAGAAGAGTTCCAGGGCTGTTACACAGAGAAACCGTGTCTCGAAAAACAAAACAAACAGACCAAAACAGAGAAAGAGCCAGGCGGTGGTGGCGCACGCCTTTAATCCTAGCACTCGGGAGGCCGAGGCCGGCGGATCTCTGTGAGTTCGAGGCCAGCCTGGGCTACAGAGTGAGCTCCAGGACAGGCACCAAAACTACACAGAGAAACACTGTCTCGAAAAAACAACAGTGAGAGAGAGAGAGAGAGAGACAGAGAGAGAGAGAGAGAGAGAGAGAGAGAGAGAGAGAGAGAGAGAGAGAGAGAGAGAGAGAGAGAGAGAGAGAGATGTCAAAGCCGGGTGAAGGCAGGAGCTGGAAATACCTCCCTCCTTTGTGTGCCACTACTGGTTCCCAGAAGGAGCTGCTGTGAAAAGCTGAAAGGGAAACGGCCTTCACACTCCTAGCCTGAGCTCTATCCTTTCACATGGGCGCCTTCGGCGAGTTGCTTCCTGAGTCTGAAGGGAAGAAAGTGTGCACTAAGGAACAATTAGAGCAAAGGGCCAGCCTGGCGGCGCATCTGCAATCCCAGCACGTTCAAATCTTTGTCGTTTTTCAAGACAGGGTTTCCCTGTGCAGCCCTGGCTGTCCTGGAACTCACTCTGTAGCCCAGGCTGGCCTCGAACTCAGATCCATGTGCCTCTGGCTCCTGAGCGCTGGGATTAAAGGCCTGCCCCACCACACCCGGCACACTGTCAAGTCTTAAGCAAAAGAACCAAAAATTCAAAGCCATCCTGAACAATTTAGTGTCACACACACACACACACACACACACACACACACACACACACACACACGCCCCTTTCTCTTTGGAGACAAGGTCTCAATGTAGCCCAGGCTGGCCTGGAACTCCCTGTGTAGCTCAGGGTGACCTTGACCACCCTGCCTCCACCTCACAAGTGCCGCCATTACTGTGTTCACAAGCCCATCTGATTGATGCATCAAACCCAAGGTTTGGTAGGCCAGCACTCTGCCGTATCCCCAGTGCTAGTGAGACTCACAGTGAAGAACAGGGATGCAGCAGCTCTGTGGTAGAGCACCTAGCATGAACAAGAGTCCAGGTTTGGTTCCCAGACTATGAAAAAATCGAGACATGGTGGTGAGGCCTCTTGTTCCCAGCACTAGGAAGGTGAAGGCAGGGGGATTGAACGTTCCAGGCCATCCTGGGCTACACAGCAAAACCCTTGTCCAGCGTGTGAATGAGCCTGGGTTTAATCAGCAGTATGAAAACCAGTGGTATACACCTATAATCCTAGCACTTGGGAGACTGGGGCAGGAGGATCATTTAATTATGTCAAGTTCAAGACCAGCCTGGGCCACAAAGTGAGACCCTATCTCAAGAAAAAAAATAAAAAAGAAAGAAAGAAAGAATTCTGAGCTGAAGATGTAACTCAGTTGGAAGAGTGCTAAAATAGTATGCAAAAAAAAAAAAACTGGCTTGGATTCCTAGCTCCATATAAACCAGGCATTATTATGGTACATGCCTATAATTCCTGTCCTCCTGAGGTAGGGGCAGAAGTCTCAAGAATTTAAGATCATTCTTGACTACCTAAGGAGTTTGAGACCATCCTAAGGTATGAGACTTTGTCTCCAAAAGTAAGTAAATAAACAAGTGATAAATCAGTATCAAATAAATGAAGAACCTTGGCATGATAGTGTATACTTATTATTCCAACACTCAAGAAGCTGAAACAGGATGATAATGACTTCCAGGCCAGCTTGGGCTACATGCTGGGACCCTGTCTCAAAAAAAGGAGGAGGAGGAGGAGGGAGAGGGGGAGGAGGAGGGGAAGAAGAAGGAGAAGAAAAAAGAAGAAGAAGAAGAAGAAGAAGAAGAAGAAGAAGAAGAAGAAGAAGAAGAAGAAGAAGAAGAAGGGGTGGGGGCTGGAGAGATGGCTCAGCTGTTTAGAGCACTTGCTCTTACAGAGGGCCTGATTTCAATTCCCAGCATGCACACGGCAGCCCACAACCCCTGTAACTCCAGTTCCAGTGGATCTGATGGCCTCTTCTGGCCTTCTTGGGCATCAGGCACACATGTAGCACACATACATACTCGAAGGCAAAACACATATAGACATAATTACTTTTAAAATAAGATAAGGGGTTGGGGGTTTAGCTCAGTGGTAGAGCGCTTGCCTAGCAAGTGCAAGGTCCAGGGTTCGATTCTCAGCTCTGGAAAAAAAATAATAAAAAATAAAATAAGATTTTTAAAAAAAAAAGCACGTATTCTAGGGACTGGAGAGATCACTCAGAAGTTAAGAGCACGTGAGTGAACATAAGGACCTGAGTTCTGATCCACATAAAATAGGTGGGACCCACGAGCACCCTGGCACTGTTCACAGGGTTAACAGCGCTGTTAACAGGAGGATCGCAGCCGGGCGGTGGTAGCACACGCCTTTAATCCCAGCACTCGGGAGGCAGAGGTAGGTGGATCTCTGTGAGTTCAAGGCCAGCCTGGACTACCAAGTGAGTTCCAGGAAAGGCGCAAAGCTACACAGAGAAACTCTGTCTTGGAAAACAAAAAAAAAAAAAAAAAAAAAACAGGAGGATCGCTGGGACTTGCTGGCCATCAGCCTAGCTCCAAGTTCAGGGAGATGCCCTATCTCAAGGGAACAAGGTGGAGAATGATGAAGCAGGACACCCAAATGTTGTTGGCTGTTTTCACTCTTTGGGCTCTTTTGCTTTTGGGGGCCTGCCACCCGGCTCCCAAAAATATACACAGAGACTTATGATGACTTATGAATATCTGGACTTAGCTTGGCTTGTTTCTTGCCAGCTTTTCTTAAATTATCCCATCTACCTTTTGCCTCTGGGCTTTCACCTTTCTCTATTTCTGTATTTCTTTCTTTCCTTCTTACTCCGTGGCTGGCTGTGTTGCTGGGTGGCTGGCCCCTTTCTCCTCCTCTCCTCCTTTCCTCATTCCTTGATTTCTTCCTCCCAGATTTCTCCTCCTATTTATTCTCTCTGCCTGCCAGCCCCTCCTATCCTTTCTTCTGCCTGCTATTGGCTGTTTAACTCTTTATTAGACCAATCAGGTGTTTCAGACAAGCACAGTAACACAGCTTCACAGAGTTAAACAAATGCAACATAAAAGAATGCAGCACATCTTTGCATCATTAAACAAATATTCCACAGCATAAACAAATGTAACACAACTTAATTTTCCACATCACCCAACGTCCTTTCCTGACTTCACACACATACAGACATACACCACACATAACAGAGAGGTAATATGCATGAAAACAGACAGACCTGGAGGTCATCATGTTAAGTGAAAGCCAGTCCCACAAAGATAGGCATCACATGTTTTCTCTTATATGAACTCTGGATTTTTAAAAGGACATGAAAGTAAATGCAGGATTACTGTTAGGGATGTAGAAGGGAAAAGAAAGCAGAGGATGAGTAAGAGGGAATAACAGGGGGCTGGAGAGATGGCAGAGTGGTTAGAGCACTGACTGCTCTTCCAGAGGATCCAGGTTCAATTCCCAGCATCCACATGGCAACTCACAACTGTAACTCCAGGATCCAACATCATCACACATATATGCAGGCAAAAACACCCATAATTTTTTTTAAAAAAGAGGGAA